CTTAAATTCAAAGTTCTCGAAGGAGCTATGCAATCAGGAATTTTTAAATTGAAAAATCTTTCGTTTCAGTCGAAACCATAGTGTAACTCGATTGTGTAACATGACTCGGAACAATCTAGTAGCCCGCTATAGGCAGGTTTCCCCGCTTCCTTGACATCCATAGCCAGTTAAGGACTAGGCTCAGGTGTCCGTCAGAGTCCAAGCGCATGGATCGCCGTACGACTGAAGCGTTCATGCGAATCGATAGACGGTTAACCCAAATCTATTTCCTTTGCTTACTCGCAAGTAACGAGGCTCGCACGTGTGAGGTTCGCGGAGGTGTCGGACTCGTAAATAAACAAACTGCATACTCGATAGCATAAACGAAAGGGGAAAGAGACCCTGTGATCATCGATAGCATATCGAGACGATTTCGCAATGTGAGGTCTTCCGTGGTAGGCCAGAGACGGGCCTAGAATTGGTCAAGAGTTGCGTCATGCATTGATTTTCAGTTGGGAAGTAGGTATACTTGTGGAGCAAGAAATATAGACGAGTACTCGAGGGTCTAGTGGTATGGATAGCGATACCCTTAAGGGAGGAAGTCTACCTAGGATAGTCCGAAAAGAGAGGCACATTTATGAATATTTTGGAGACAAACGACATTTTTTCTGGTTTTAGGGTATCCGAAGGAATGTTTCTTACTGCATGTGCTGCAATTTTTGTAATTAAAAAGAACTTACAGCGGGTATAGAATGTATTCGTACACCGATTAATTTCGCAAAAAACTTTTGTGTGAAATTGTAGTTTCTCGATTATATAATCTATATATTCTAGAGATTTCCGAGAAATATGTAGAATCATTGTTTATAAAAAATAAGTTAATAAATTATAATTTTACATAGTTTTACACAGTTTTTTTAGAAATTTATCGGCGTACGAATACTTTCTACAGCCACTGTATATTAACAGCGCAAAATTATTTGTTCAAAAATGTGGCTCGATGGCACCAAGAAAATTTAATATATTATTCAAAAGTACTTGATTTTTAAATCTCGATTAACAGCTTTGTTACGATGAGATATTTTTAAATACAAAAATAGCGACACGTGTACTAAGAATCGTTCTTTCGGATACCTTATAACTTATCACTCGAAGTTCTAGATAGACTTCGCCCTTTAAGAGTACACCCTGGTAAATGTCTTTCTCGCCACAGTGTCAAAGACTCTTAACGTGCCAAATAGCTTCCAAAAAGTATACAAAGTTGGTCCCTGAGATCTCGACACCCCGACACCGAGTCTGCCACCGAGTTCATCCCCTAGAGACTTTACGACTTCGCCATACTTCTTTCACGGAGCGCACTCTACCACCTACCGCTTCTAAATTGGAATCACATACACCGGAGTTACCCTTGATGTCAACAGATCCACGAGGGTCTGGTCTGGAGACCGTAAAATTCAGACTTTGGGTGTTAATTTAAAGAAGAGCGACGAGCACGGCGAACCCACGAACTAATGGCACCACTGTAGCGATGCAACAGGGTTAAAGATGGGCCTACAATGGCGCCAACAGTTTGCATGCTCGCAGTGATCTGAAAAGTCTCTAAGAACCTTCCGAAAGCGAGTTCACAAACTCTTATAAACAATCCAAGCTTTCAGAATGTAAAAGAAAAACAAATTTCCCGAAGCTTATAAAGTTAGAAGCCTGAAACCGAGGGTCGACCATACGTTCGAATTTTAAATGTTGCGCCACCCACGAGCGCAGTCCCATTAAAAGAGGAAAGGGCACAAATTGGCGGCATTGTGAACGTTCGTCTGAATGCTGGCGCACGAACCGGCGTCAATTCAGTGCCGTCTTTATTAAGTCAACAACCTGCTTTCAGAAATCCGCTGCATTTCGCTGGTACAGAATTAAATTCAGAGCGCAATATTCATCGCGACCACGGAACGGGAACGGGAACGAGAACGGGTTGGGGACGTTAATTGGTAGGGTGTCGCCATTGCGTGCAAAGGTTTCGGTAATTAAGGAGGCAATAAGGTAAACAATGTAGAACGAACACTCACCACGTCGAATAAACAACGGTCCCTAGACTTCGTCAAGCTCCGATTCCAGCGTGCATCGCCGGAGAACGAGTCCCATCATCGGACAATGGAAGATCCTTCGGATCCTTCTGGATATCTTCGTGACTCCACCGAGACTCTCCAGGATCGAGCTGAAATACATTTGAAAAAATTAGTACTCAAATATCAATTGATACATTTGAAAAAGAAATACTCGTCTAAATTCGAAAAACGTTTCGTGATTCGAATGCGAAGGAAACTTTCAAGGAGTGAATAAAGGAGAAAACTTTCGATACAATTTAAATAGATCGCGAAAGTGCGCTTTAAATCGACGACGACAAACGTTTCATACCAAAGGTTCACCGAGTGGATTCGTTTTTAAAGGTGGTTCAGTGATGTCGCGGAAGGAGGAACACTTCGATTTCAACTTATCTGTACACTGTACTTGTACTAACGAGCGTTTAATCGCAGTCCTACGATACAGTTATCACCCTTACATAGGTACTCGTTTCAGGAGCACCTCGTCGAGGAAAGTGCCCCGAAAGCCCGTGAACCCGCGTTGAGCAGAATGTTGCCGACCGCGTGGCGGGAACACCTGACACAGGGTGGTACATTCATCCCCACCAACCGAACACTCCGATCCACCCTCGCCGCCCTCGGCAACGCGATTCAACCTCGAATTAGACTTTCGCCATTTTAATTCGTCGAGTTTCGTATGTATAATTGAACGGCGTATTTACGGTAAAAGCTAGAACGAAGGGCAAAGGGAACTTATCCTACATATATCAGTTCTAAGGAAGATTGAATATTTTATAGAAGAAACGAACGAGAGGAGTGGCTAATAGATATCGATATTTGTACCAAAATCTATTGAAATAATGACACGAGAAAGAGTTGATTGGAATGCTATTCATTCTATTTATTAATCCTATTAATTCGTTTCATTTATTAATTTTATTTGTCCATTCTATTCGTTCATTCTACATATTTATTTATTTCTTAAACATTCCTCGCAAGACCTCCCCTCCGCCAACTATTAAATGCATATAATTTGATTTTGAATAAATATTAATAATTATTGTTTAATGCAATTATTGAGCTGATAACGTATCGTGTAATGAAGATGTCGAATTACTATATCGTAGCACTTGTAATGCTTATGGCTAGATTGCAAGTACAAGAATACATGATTAGCGCGCAACGATACATATTTAATAAATAATATAGCACGAGCTTTGAACTTACAAACCATTTACAATTATAATGAACGGTCAAATGGGATAGCTATGCAGCAGTAAACGGATCGAGATACTCTTGGAACGAATTTTATACACGCAGCGCCATCGGTGGCGAATTGTCTAAGTTTGTTCAGAAAGTGTTCTGCATTATCTTCATACCGACACAGTAGAACTTGTCCGTCGCGCACTCACTGCACCATTCATTCAAAATCGAATAAAAATCGGACACTATTAACCGTAACAATTAAAACTAAGTATACCGCGAGTTATTTGTTCGAAAACAATCAAAAGAATTAACCTAGATTTAATAAGTTACAGCCAAAAAATAGAAAAATATTAACTATGTCTTTTCTTGCTCAACCTCAACACTGATCGATAATATAATTATATACCACGCTTAACGCTTAAACACGAATATGTATGTTATTTATCGAAGTACTTACCAATTCTCCGTTTGAAACGCCTTCGAAATGATTGATATCTGTCAAGACGTCCACTTCGCGCCAGTGGCATGTTCCCCGCATTCGAATTGCAATCGTTCACTGTGATACAAATAAAACATAAATTTAAAGTATGTATTTAAATTACAATTAAGTAATAACCGAACAGAAGAATTGAAGTGAAATATATTGTGAGCGGTTCCAATTTAATTTAGAGAGACGTAATGATAACCTTTCTCACGACTCCACATTAAATTTATATTCAAAGGTGTATTAATATTGTGCGAAAGTGTCGATGAAGTGTAAACAAGAGTATTAATACCGATAAGATATGATTAAATATTATTAAAAGAGAAGTACGTACCTTAGCGATCGCGAAATTCTCCGTACGCTCCTGACACATACCACTTCACCAAATTTCGCGGAAGAAATGGCGACGCAGACCGAAGCGCCGCTAGGCACCAGTTTGGGCGGTGGGGGAACAGCCAATAGGATTCTCTTCCCTCTCTTTACATAGAAATAGCGGAAACATTCAAACCGTTCAAAAAGTAAGGAGTACTTAAGGGGTTAGTCGCAGTCAGGTAAATGAAAACGGACACTTCCTTGTGTGTTTTTTTAAGGTATTTAATAATAATTTTTATTAATGAAATGTAAATATATTACAAAGTATGTCTTAAAGAACTATAAAAGAATTTTTGTATTAAAAAAAGGATAATTCATTTCGTCATAATAGGCGATGGCGTGGATGGCCACTTGGTTTGCAGTGAGCAAGATTTCTTCAAACTGGTGCACCTAAAAACAAAACTAAAGGTAGATTTAGAAAATATATTAGACTAACGGGTCCCTGATCGAAGAATTTTTTATTTTCTTAAATACTTTTCTTTTTACTCTCAATTTAATCACTTAATTTTATAATGAAAATTAAACTTCAACTTCAAATGTACGTCATTTTGTTTTAAATTAATTTTTTCCAAAATCCTTCGATCAGGGATCCGTTAGTCTAATATATTTTAATATAGTCTATTATAAAAAAAAATACACAAGAAAGTGTCCGTTTTGATTTTCCTGACTGCGACTAATCCCTTAATGAACTTTTGTATGAAGACAATTCTACTTCACAAGACTACTCTAATTTGTCTTCCTAACCACTGGGAATCATCAGTTTAATTTGTTTAGACCTCTGCCAGCTCTTATTGTAGGGACTTCAAAGGTTCCAGTAAGAGTTTCTCTTCTATATAAGACTATACCGTGGTCGTTCATGCTAATGAAAATTCGCCTTTAATGCAAGATGTGACACCTCGCGGTCAATGTTAGCGGGGATGCGATATTTTCCGGTAAAGTAGTTTTGGCAGTTTTTTGAGACGTGGTGTACGGGAAAAATACGTGTATAATGTAAAATTGGTTTCCTCAAACGCTAATCGATTACGCTAATTTATGGCTCGCGTCGTTGCTCGAACCGCGATAAACTCTTGTGAATCCTATCCGTGATCGTTGTGCACATTATAGTACCATATATAAGATAGGGCGCTCCGAACCGTATTAAAACATCGATCGGTGCAGTGAAAGTGATAAAAAGCAACGAAATTCAAGTGTTTTTTCACCATGTAGTCGTTACGTCTTCCTCAATAGACCTTTAAGCTTGTATCGCAATCCACTTTTTGCGTTTTTCACGTACAAGGTTAAAGCGCTCTGATTCACAATTATTGCATCTGACCAGGCCAATAATAAATAAAAATGAGTGGGGATATGTTTGAGGGAAAGGATTACCCAACCCAATGGGCCCTAAATCCTTCCGCTTACCAAAACATGAGTAACGATCAAGGTAAATGGAATAAAATGTATTTCACTATACGATGCATATGCAATTCATTTTCTTCAACCATCATACAACATTTAATTGATGTATAAAACTCTTGATCGTTATTCAGTCGACTGGGCTGCATTAGCTCAGCAATGGATCAAAATGAAAGAGACCGTAGTGCCACCGGCACCGCCTCCACCTACTATTAATCCTGTGTGTTCTGGGACTGATGGTAGTGGAGAAGCTCCTATGGACATGGACACAAAAGATGATGACATACCACCAGCACCACCTGCACCTACGATCAGTGGATCAGGTAGCAAATAGAAATTGAACTTGCAATGCTAATTATAGAGCATTTGTAAATCCTTCGTAATAATTACATACTGTACCAATGATTTTGCTCATTTTAATGATATTGAAATGATAGATACCTCTTATGCACAGTTCTTTATCAATTTCAGACAAAGACATGTTGTAAAATATTAGTTGTATTTTAAATAATACATTCAATAATTTGTTGTGTATCTAAAAGCAGGGTAGGGATAATTTCTTTGAGTTTCAATACAGCAAAATATATATGACTCTACATCATTAAAGTTCCATTATAATATGAATAAAAGGGCACTCTATAGTCGTCTGTTTGATTTCTTGGTTTGTTTATAACCTAACTTTTGTAATGTTAATGGAACAGTTTTACCATACATATTCTTCAATGTCAGCTGAAGGTTGGAACCAATGGAATCAGTGGGGTCATTGGAACAGCTCAGGTTCTGGTGCTGGTACTTGGGAGTGGACTGGTGTACCACCACCCGGTGTTTCTATAGGTTCTGATGGGAAACCTATGGGAATTCCCACAGTACCAGTCATTCCACCTGCTCCAACTATATCTACTACTACAGAATTTAGTGTACCACCTCCAGCAGCACCATCACTATATTCTTATAACTCAGTACCTCCAACACAACCTTATAGTCAGGTTAAAATTGTATTTCTAACATAATATATATCTAGACTCCTACATCTTCCAATTTACTTAGGCTTGGTAAAGAAAGAAAAAATCATGTATCTGAAGATGCATATATAGCTGAATTTAGAAAATTCAATATCTGTAGTATCAAGTATAAATTAAGAAACAAAATGTAGATGAGGTTAGATATTTACAGATAATCAGTGTCTTGTATTTAGGTCAGTAGTTTTTGGTCTGGTGAACCACCTGCTTCAATACCTCCTCAACCACCTCCTTTCATGAAAGGAGTTAGACATGCAAATAGAGCACCACATCTGAGACCTATAGATAATGTACGGTGTCGGGAAGATAGAGAAAAGACACCAGAGGAAGATACAACTACAACAATAGGTAAATTTATGAAAGGTTGTTTTGATGCGTGTGTGAGGGAAATATATTAAGTATAAGTTGGGTAAAATAGACTGTCATTTAGCAGTATAATAAGTGTTGCTATTTGTAAAGATATCAAGAAATTTCACTTTGGTCTACAAACGACAAAATTGTCGCGATAAATATTTATAAGATGAAGATATCTTTACTTTAGACGCGGCAAAACGTAGACAGTTACCAGCATGGATTAGGGAGGGTTTAGAAAAGATGGAAAAAGAGAAACAGAAAGCTGTTGAAAGAGAAAGACAGGAAATTCTAAGGAAACAAGAGCTGGAAGCCAGAAAACAAGCTGAAGATGAAGCTCGGGCAGTTCTGAATCCTTCTAAAAGCAAATTTGTAGGTGTCTTAATGTACAGTTAAGAGCTTACACCACTATAGAGACTATTAGATAATATATTCTTTGCTCTATATCTCTTATAATGGTGTAATCCCTCAAAGTGCAAATGAACTTGCATCAGTGTTCACAAACACGGTCTCTTCAAACACAGGACTCCGATTCTGAGAAGGAAACAGAGCAAGAAGCTGATGAGGGAGTACGTAATCAGCAAGTGGTTGAGAAAAATTTCGAACGTAGCCAAGATATTCTTCTTCGACCGCGAAAATCGCGATTTCGAGACGCAGATTCACCGGATGCTCATACCCATACCGATAGGAGTCCAACCACCCCTAACACGACTCTAAGTACACCCAAGCGAACCAGAGAGGAAATTCTACAAGATGCGGTATGTCTTATTTCAACTTGATTATTAAATCGATTTTCACAATCACATTTACTGTAATCGTTTTCTCGCAAACTCCGTGGATGCAGCATTAAACGCGAATTGATCATATAGTAGACTTTGTGCATTAGATGTTGAAGGTGCGGAGATCCCTAACGGAAATTCTTCTGGAGGTAACGAACGAAGAAATCGGTTCTATATGCAGAGAGGTTTGGAGCCGCGCACGTGCCAAAGGTACCCCAGATACACACGATACAACTAACAAATTATATTTCATATTTTCGCTCATCAGTGCACAGAATCTGATTCACACGAGTCTTGTGCAATGTTGCGGTGAATTTTATTTGCCCATTTCTGTAATATAAGCCTTTAAATATTAAACAGAGATTATTCAATTCATAGAGTTACTTATTCGATAATTTCAGGATATCCTACTTTATTTTTCCAGGATTTATACACGTACTATAAGTGACACTCGTTTTTCTTTTTCAATAGAATCGTAAAAATAATTTTGATCGAAAGTACCGTTTCTTTTCTTTTTTTTTTTTTTTTATTTCTTTTTCAAATAGAGACGAAAGTACCGTTTCTTTTTTTTTTTTT